TCAAATTAAAGCTAAAGCATTCTATTTTATGAATTTAATATAGAGTATATAAGTTTCATAATCAAAATTTCTAGAAAAATGATTTTTAATCTAAACTTGTAAAATTGGGTTTTGTTCAGTTATGTCAAAAATTATGAAGATTTTAAAAAAATCTCTGAGATCTTGTTTTTGGGAGTTAAGAAACAGCTTATATCTCAAATTAAAGCTAAAACATTCTATTTTATGAATTTAATATAAAATATATAAGTTTGATAATAAAAATTTCTAGAAAAAAATTTTTTAAACTAAACTTGTAAAATTCGGGTTTCTTTGATTATGTATAAAATTTACGATGATTTAAAAAATCGCAGAAATCTTATTTCTGAGAGTTAAAAAGCAGCTTATATCTCAAATTAAAGCTAAAATATTCTACTTTATGAATTTAATATAGAATATACAAGTTTCATAATCAAAATTTCTAGAAAAATGATTTTTAATTTAAACTTGTAAAATTGGGTTTTGTTCAGTTATGTCAAAAATTATGAAGATTTAAAAAAATCTTTGAGATCTTGTTTTTGGGAGTTAACAAACAGTTTATATCTCAAATCAAAGCTGAAACATTCTATTTTATGAATTTAATTTAGAATATATAAGTTTGATAATCAAAATTTCTAGAAAAATGCTTTTTAATCTAAACTTGTAAAATTGGGTTTTGTTCAATTATGTAAAACATGAAGATTTAAAAATCGCTGAGATCTTGTTATTGTGAGTTAAAAAACAGCTTATATCTCAAATTAAAGATAAAACATTCTATTTTATGAATTTAATATAAAATATATAAGTTTGATAATAAAAATTTCTAGAAAAAAATTTTTTAAACCAAACTTGCAAAATTCGGGTTTATTTGATTATGTATAAAATTTAAGATGATTTAAAAAATCGCTGAAATGTTATTTTTGAGAGTTAAGAAGCAGCTTATATCTCAAATTAAAGCTAAAACATCCTATTTTATGAATTTAATATAGAATATATGTTTCATAATCAAAATTTTTAGAAAAATTATTTTTAATCTAAACTTGTAAAATTGGGTTTTGTTCAGTTATGTCAAAAATTATGAAGATTTAAAAAATCACTGAGATCTTGTTTTTTGGAGTTAAGAAACAGTTTATATCTCAAATTAAAGATAAAACATTCTATTTTATGAATTTAATATAAAATATATAAGTTTGATAATAAAATTTTTCAGAAAAAAGATTATTAATCTAAATTGTAAAATTGTGGTTTATTCGATTATATCAAAAATTATGAAAATTTTAAAAAAATCGCTGAGATCTTATTTTTGGGAGTTAAAAAACAGCTTATATCTCAAAATAAAGCTAAAACATTTTATTTCATGAATTTTATATAAAATATATAGGTTTGATAATGAAAATTTCTAGAAAAAAGCTTTATAATGTAAACTTGTTAAATTGTGGTGTTCGATTATGTCAAAAATTATGGACATTTAAAAAAAATCGCTGTGATTTTATTTTTGGGAGTTAAGAAACAGGTTATATCTCAAATTAAAGATAAAACATTCTATTTTATGAATTTAATATAAAATATATGTTTCATAATAAAAATTTCTAAAAAAAAATTTTTTAAATCAAACTTGCAAAATTCGGGTTTCTTTGATTATGTATAAAATTTACGATGATTTAAAAAATCGCTGAAATCTTATTTTTGAGAGTTATTAAGCAGCTTATATCTCAAATTAAAGCTAAAACGTCCTATTTTATGAATTTAATATAGAATATATGTTTCATAATCAAAATTTTTAGAAAAATGATTTTTAATCTAAACTTGTAAAATTGGGTTTTGTTCAGTTATGTCAAAAATTATGAGGATTTAAAAAATCTCTGAGATCTTGTTTTTTGGAGTTAAGAAACAGTTAATATCTCAAATTAAAGATAAAACATTCTATTTTATGAATTTAATATAAAATATATAAGTTTGATAATAAAAATTTCTAGATAAAAATTTTTTTAAACCAAACTTGCAAAATTCGGGTTTCTTTGATTATGTATAAAATTTACGATGATTGGAAAAATCGCTGAAATCTTATTTTTGAGAGTTAAGAAGCAGCTTATATCTCAAATTAAAGCTAAAACGTCCTATTTTATGAATTTAATATAGAATATATAAGTTTCATAATCAAAATTTCTAGAAAAATGATTTTTAATCTAAACTTGTAAAATTGGGTTTTGTTCAATTATGTCAAAAATTATGAAGATTTAAAAAATCTTTGAGATCTTGTTTTTGGGAGTTAAAGAAACAGTTTATATCTCAAATCAAAGCTGAAACATTCCAATTTATTAATTTAATATAAAATATATAAGTTTGATAATAAAAATTTCTAGAAAAAATTTTTTTAAACTAACTTGTAAAATTCGGGTTTCTTTGATTATATATAAAATTTACGATGATTTAAAAAATGGCAGATATCTTATTTTTGAGAGTTAAGAAGCAACTTATATCTCAAATTAAAGCTAAAACATTCTATTTTATGAATTTAAAATGGAATACATAAGTCTCATAAACAAAAATTTTAAAAAAATGGTTTTTAATCTAAAATTGTAAAATTGGGTTTTGATCAGTTATGTCAAAAATGATGAGGATTTAAAAAATCTCTGAGATCTTGTTTTTGGGAGTTAAGAAACAGCTTATATCTCAAATTAAAGATAAAACATTCTATTTTATGAATTTAATATAAAATATATAAGTTTGATAATAAAAATTTCTAGAAAAAAATTTTTTAAACTAAACTTGTAAAATTCGGGTTTCTTTGATTATGTATAAGATTAACGATGATTTAAAAAATCGCTGAAATCTTACTTTTGAGAGTTAAGAAGCAGCTTATATCTCAAATTAAAGCTAAAGCATTCTATTTTATGAATTTAATATAGAATATATAAGTTTCATAATCAAAATTTCTAGAAAAATGATTTTTAATCTAAACTTGTAAAATTGGGTTTTGTTCAGTTATGTCAAAAATGATGAAGATTTAAAAAATCTCTGAGATCTTGTTTTTGGGAGTTAAGAAACAGCTTATATCTCAAATTAAAGATAAAACATTCTATTTTATGAATTTAATATAAAATATATGTTTGATAATAAAAATTTCTAGAAAAAAATTTTTTAAACCAAACTTGCAAAATTCGGGTTTGTTTGATATGTATAAAATTTAAGATGATTTAAAAAATCGCTGAAATCTTATTTTTGAGAGTTAAGAAGCAGCTTATATCTCAAATTAAAGCTAAAACGTTCTATTTTATGAAGTTAATATAGAATATATAAGTTTCATAATCAAAATTTTTAAAAAAATGATTTTTAATCTAAAATTGTAAAATTGGGTTTTGCTCAGTTATGTCAAAAATTATGAGGATTTAAAAAATCTCTGAGATCTTGTTTTTGGGAGTTAAGAAACAGCTTATATCTCAAATTAAAGCTAAAACATTCTATTTTATGAATTTAATATAGAATATATAAGTTTCATAATCAAAATTTTTAGAAAGATGATTTTTAATCTAAACTTGTAAAATAGGGTTTTGTTCAGTTATGTTAAAAATTATAAAGATTTTAAAAAAACTCTGAGATCTTGTTTTTGTGAGTTAAGAAACAGCTTATATCTCAAATTAAAGCTAAAACATTCTATTTTATGAATTTAATATAAAATATATGTTTGATAATAAAAATTTCTAGAAAAAATTTTTTTAAACTAAACTTATAAAATTCGGGTTTCTTTGATTATGTATAAAATTTACGATGATTTGAAAAATCGCTGAAATCTTATTTTTGAGAGTTAAGAAGTAGCTTATATCTCAAATTAAAGCTAAAATATTCTATTTTATGAATTTAATATAGAATATATAAGTTTCATAATCAAAATTTCTAGAAAAATGATTTTTAATCTAAACTTGTAAAATTGGGTTTTGTTCAGTTATGTCAAAAATTATGAAGATTTAAAAAATTTCTGAGATCTTGTTTTTGGGAGTTAAGAAACAGCTTATATCTCAAATTAAAGATAAAACATTCTATTTTATGAATTTAATATAAAATATATAAGTTTGATAATAAAAATTTTTAGAAAAAAGATTATTAATCTAAACTTGTAAAATTGTGGTTAATTCGATTATATCAAAAATTATGAAAATTTAAAGATATCGCTGAGATCTTATTTTTGGGAGTTAAAAAACTGCTTATATCTCAAAATAAAGCTAAAACATTCTATTTCATGAATTTTATATAAAATATATAGGTTTGATAATGAACATTTCTAGAAAAAAGATTATTAATCTAAACTTGTAAAATTATGGTTTATTCGATTATATCAAAAATTATGAACATTTACAAAAATTGCTGTGATCTTATTTTTGGGAGCTAAGAAACAGCTTATATCTCAAATTAAAGCTAAAGCATTCTATTTTATGAATTTAATATAGAATATATAAGTTTGATGATCAAAATTTCTAGAAAAATGCTTTTTAATTTAAACTTATAAAGTTGGGTTTTGTTCAATTATGTCAAAAATTATGAAGATTTACAAAAATCCTTGAGATCTTGTTTTTGTGAGTTAAGAAAAAGCTTATATCTCAAATTAAAGCTAAAACATTTTATTTTATGAATTTAATATAAAATATATAAGTTTAATGATCAAAATGTCTAGAAAAATGCTTTTTAATCTATACTTGTAAAATTGGGTTTTGTTCGATTATGTCAAAAATTATAAATATTTACAAAAATTGCTGTGATCTTATTTTTGGGAGTTAAGAAACAACTTATATCGCAAATTAAAGCTAAAACATTCTATTTTATGAATTTAATATAAAATATATGTTTGATAACAAAAATTTTTAGAAAAAAATTTTTTAAACTAATCTTGTAAATTTGGGGTTTCTTTGATTATGTATAAAATTTACGATGATTTAAAAAATCTGTGAAATCTTATTTTTGGGAGTTAAAAAACTGCTTATATCTCAAAATAAAGCTAAAACATTTTATTTCATGAATTTTATATAAAATATATAGGTTTGATAATGAAAATTTCTAGAAAAAAGCTTTATAATCTAAACTTGTAAAATTGTGGTGTTCGATTATGTCAAGAATTATGAACATTTAGAAAAAATCGCTGTGATTTTATTTTTGGGAGTAAAGAAACAGGTTATATCTCAAATTAAAGCTTAATTTGTGTGTGTTTGGAAGGAAAATAAACACATGCGTCTTAAGGAGCCAAGAAAAAATTATGTTTAAAAAAAAATTGGATTAAGAAAATATAGTAATTAAAAAAAAAATAATAACTTTTAAAATCCACTAGCCACTTGACTTTTTATACTCGAAATATAACTTAAAGTTGACGAATAAACTTCTTTTAAAGTTGTAAAACGTGATTTTCTAAAACAAAATTAAAACAAAGAGAATAGAAATTTTTAACAATCAATCACTTACTTTGGCTTGGGAAGAGGTTGAGGTTCGCTTCGTCCTTTTCCAGCTGGATTCGAAGTAGCTTGTTCCCCATGAACTATCTCAAATTCAGCTTCTAATTTTCCCTAAAATTTTTGTTTTATAAACATTAAATAATTTGTAATCGAAATATAATTACAGCTAAAATGTACTGCTTAGTTTTTTCATCGATTCCCTGAAAAGGCCACCATCCTTTCGTGCGTTTCATTTTAAACAGATTTATTTGAGGTGAATTATCATCTAAAAGTTTTAAACTACACAAATGTGAACTTTTAGCACCTCGCGGCATCGAAGATAAATCCAACGTTAACGACCCCAAAAATTCATCAGACGAAAACGTATCGTTGTCCCAAACTTGTAGTTTTAATCGGCAAGGAATTTTACGTTCGCTTTGAACCATGTGAAAAATTTCTTTTCTTTGAACCACGATTTTATTTTCAGTTTTTAAATAATTAAAGGGAAAAACAAATCTCCAGTTGAAGTTTCCTTCGCCGTTTAAAGATCGATAATGAACATCGGTACTTTGACACTCATCGATACCTGCCAACCAACTAAATATAAATTTATATATTATATATTTTATATTATTAATAAAGATTTTTACCCTTTAATAAAAATATCAGATTTTTTTTCACCAATAAAAAAATCGTCCTCTTGTAAAATAACATCTTCAGTGTTCAAAATAATAACTCTTAACTCGTAATTTTCAGGTTTTCTTGGTGTTATTTTTACTGGAGGTGGTGGAGGGAGATCGCTAGTTGGGAAAATATCCACCCAAACTTGAAGCTTTCCCTGTAACAAGAATTTAATCGAAATCGAGTTAATACTTTATGAATTAATTACTTGCTCTAAACCTGGTTGTTCTGGATTATACAACGATCGAGTTTCAACGTGTTCAGGAACTAAATGACATCCAACAACCGGAACTTGATGCCACTTATGAAGCAAATCCAAAGCTAATTCTTCTTTACTATAAACACTTTTAACTGGAACATCGTCCGTTGTGGTTATTGGAAAAATTAGCTCCCCAATTCTGACATAAGTATCATAAAATTTCGGCGATTCAAGTTGGTAAAGATTGCATAAACCGTTTAAAATATCACTTGGAGATTCGTTATCTCTCCAAACGGTTGCTCCTTTTTCGCAGAATTCATATGCTAATCCGCATTTTGCCCTATGTTTTGTGTAAAATCGGTTTTCCAAATCAATTTGAGTTTCGCCTATTAAATCGTGAGATGACTGGCGATCATAGTCCCAAACTTGTAAAGTTATTGTTGTGTCCGTTGGAAATGAACCGTTGAATTCGAAAGTACTAAAAGAAAATGGTAATGTTATGAAAAGTAAATTTTTAGGATGGTTTTGATTTTATGGGGGTCATTCAACATAAATAAGAATTTGAGAAAGTTTACTTATTAAAATTCTAGAACTCTTTCTTGTAACAAAGATTTAAAAAAATCGCTGTGATTTTATTTTTGAGAGTTAAGAAACAGCTTGTATCTCAAATTAAAGCTAAAACATTCTATTTTATGAATTTAATATAGAATATATAAGTTGGATGATCAAAATTTTTAGAAAAATGCTTTTTAATCTGAACTTGTAAAATTGGGTTTTGTTCGATTATGTCAAAAATTATGAACGTTTACAAAAATCGCTGTGATCTTATTTTTGCGAGTTAAGAAACAGCTTATATCTCAAATTAAAGCTAAAACATTCTACTTTATATATTTAATATAGAATATATATGTTTGATGGTCAAAATTTTTAGAAAAATGATTTTTAATCTAAACGTGTAAAATTGGGTTTTGTTCAATTATGTCAAAAATTATGAAGATTTAAAAAAATCCCTGAGATCTATTTTTGTGAGTTAAGAAACAGCTTATATCTCAAATTAGAGCTAAAACATTCTATTTTATGAATTTAATATAAAACATATAAGTTTGATAATACAAATTTCTAGAAAAAACTTTTTTAAACTAAACTTGTAAAATTGGGGTTTCTTTGATTATGTATAAAATTTACGATGATTTAAAAAATCGCTGAAATCTTATTTTTGAGAATTAAGAAGCAGCTTATATCTCTAATTAAAGCTAAAACATTCTATTTTATGAATTTAATATAAAATATATAAGTTTGATGATCAAAATTTCTAGAAAAATGCTTTTTAATCTAAACGTATAAAATTGGGTTTTGTTCAATTATGTCAAAAATTATGAAGATTTAAAAAAGACCATCTTGTAACATCTGCCACAAAAGAAGTCCATGCGGAGTTAAATCTTTAAAGATTTTATAAAAAAAAAAAAAAAATATTTTACGTTTATTTTATGTAAATTATGTGACAATAATAATTTTAATTTGTTCACAGCTTTATGTTTTCGATGTTAATTTCCTGTAAAATTCATTGACTTTTGTCTCTGATGATGGCTTTTTGCCGAAACTAGTTAGACAACAAAAATATAAATAAACCAGTAAAAGTACAACAAAATTCGAAATTTTTCTATCACGTTAAACAAACTGGTATAATGGATATTAACTTCAATTTCAACCTAATTTAAAAAAATCCCTGAGATCTTGTTTTTGTGAGTTAAGAAATAGCTTATATCTCAAATTAAAGCTAAATCATTCTATTTTATGAATTTAATATAAAATATATAAGTTTGATAATAAAAATTTCTAGAAAAGACTTTTTTAAACTAAACTTGAAAAATTGGGGTTTCTTTGATTATGTATAAAATTTACGATGATTTAAAAAATCGCTGAAATCTTATTTATGAGAATTAAAAAGCAGCTTATATCTCAAATTAAAGCTAAAGTATTCTATTTTATGAATTTAATATAAAATATATGTTTGATGATCAAAATTTCTAGAAAAATGCTTTTTAATCTAAACTTACAAAATTGGGTTTTGTTCAATTATGTCAAAAATTATGAAGATTTAAAAAAATCCCTGAGATCTTGTTTTTGTGAGTTAAGAAACAGCTGATATCTCAAATTAAAGTTAAAATATTCTATTTTATGAATTTAATATAAAATATATAAGTTTAATGATCAAAATGTCTAGAAAAATGCTTTTTAATCTAAACGTGTAAAATTGGGTTTTGTTCGATTATGTCAAAAATTATGAACATTTACAAAAATTGCTGTGATCTTATTTTTGGGAGTTAAGAAGCAGCTTACATCTTAAATTAAAGCTAAAACATTCTATTTTATGAATTTAATATAGAATATATAAGTTTGATGATCAAAATTTCTAGATAAACGCTTTTTAATTTAAACTTATAAAACTGGGTTTTGTTCAATTATGTCAAAAATTATGAAGATTTAAAAAAATCCCTGAGATCTTGTTTTTGTGAGTTAAGAAACAGCTTATATCTCAAATTAAAGGTAAAACATTCTATTTTATGAATTTAATATAAAATATATAAGTTTGACAATAAAAATTTCTAGAAAAAACTTTTTTAAACTACATTTGTCAAATTGGGGTTTCTTTGATTATGTATAAAATTTACGATGATTTAAAAAATCGCTGAAATCTTATTTTTGAAAATTAAAAAGCAGCTTATATCTCAAATTAAAGCTAAAACATTTTATTTTATGAATTTAATATAAAATATATAAGTTTGATGATCAAAATTTTTAGCAAAATGCTATTTAATCTTAACTTATAAAATTGGGTTTTGTTCAATTATGTCAAAAATTATGAAGTTTTAAAAAAATCCCTGAGATCTTGTTTTTGTGAGTTGAGAAACAGCTTATATCTCAAATTAAAGCTAAAACATTCTATTTTATGAATTTAATATAAAATATATAAGTTTGATAATAAAAATTTCTAGAAAAAACTTTTTTAAACTAAACTTGTAAAATTGGGGCTTCTTTGATTATGTATAAAATTTACGATGATTTAAAAAATCGCTGAAATCTTATTTTTGAAAATTAAAAAGCAGCTTATATCTCAAATTAAAGCTAAAACATTCTATTTTATGAATTTAATATAAAATATATAAGTTTGATGATCACAATTTCTAGCAAAATGCTTTTTAATCTTAATTTATAAAATTGGGTTTTGTTCAATTATATCAAAAATTATGAAGATTTAAGAAAATCCCTGAGATCTTGTTTTTGTGAGTTAAAAAACAGTTTATATCTCAAATCAAAGCTAAAGCATTCTATTTTATGAATTTAATATAAAATATATAAGTTTGATAATAAAAATTTTTAGAAAATTTTTTTTTAAATTAAACTTGTAAAATTCGGGTTTCTTTGATTATGTATAAAATATACGATGATTTAAAATATCGCTGAAATCTTATTTTTGGGAATTAAGAAGCAGCTTATATCTCTAATTAAAGCTAAAACATTCTATTTTATGAATTTAATATAGAATATATAAGTTTGATGATCAAAATTTCTAGAAAAATCCTTTTTAATCTTAACTTGTAAAATTGGGTTTTGTACGATTATGCCAAAAATTATGAAGATTTAAAAAAATCCCTGAAATCTTGTTTTTGTGAGTTAAGAAACAGCTTATATCTCAAATTAAAGCTAAAACATTCTATTTTATGAATTTAATATAAAGTATGTAAGTTTGATAATAAAAATTTCTAGAAAAAACTTTTTTAAACTAAACTTGTAAAATTGGGGCTTCTTTGATTATGTATAAAATTTACGATGATTTAAAAAATCTTTGAAATCTTATTTTTGAGAGTTAAGAAGCAGGTTATATGTTAAATTAAAGCTAAAACATTCTATTTTATGAATTTAATACAGAATATACAACTTTGATGATCAAAAATGCTTTTTAATCTAAACTTGTAAAATTGAGTTTTGTTCGATTATGTCAAAAATTATGACGAAAAATATCACTGCGACCTTATTTTAGGAAGTTAAGAAACAGCTTATATCTCAAATTTCAGCTAAAACATTCTATTTTATGAATGTAATGTAAAATATATAAGAAGGTTTGAAATTAAATGTGATACTTCTGTACTTTTAACTGGTCATTTATTAAATTTTTTTATTTAAAAAACGTTTCGGTTTAAGAAACCATCTTCAGAGATACACTACAAGAAATGAAATATACAGGCTGTATCTGAATGACGTGCCCAAACTTTAGGGGGTGATTATTTAGGCAATTTTAGAGTACTTTCTTATATAAACTATGAACGATTTCGACTCCCCTGCGGTGCTACGCCCCTCCAAAAATGGCGAAAAATTTTGGTTTAATTTGTTTTTCTCAAAAACCATAAACGCTAGGAAACTGAAATTTGGGAAATATGTTTAACTCATAATAGGACACGTTTTGACCTTATTTGTACTTTCAACTTACCCTTCTAAACTACTAAATGTAACCACCCCTTTACATTTTTGCTAAAATTTTTTGTATAAAGATGATAAATACAATTAGAAAAATTTTACATAGGTAGATGAAAGTATCCTAAAACTTTTTTGTTTCTCTAAAATTTTTCCAAAAACGACTAATTTTTAAGAAAAAAGATAATAAAGCAAATACTGCTTGTTAAACAACTAGGTTGTCGATCAAAAGTTGGAATGAATTTTTAATAAAAAAATCTTGGCAGGCTTTGCAATCTTTGTCAAAAATATTTTTGACGTTTAAATGTCAGCGCTTTTCTTAATTATTATTGTTTTTCAAATTAATTTTTGAATAAAATTCTATCGCATTTACACTCGTTCGCTCGACGTTTCAAAATTTTAAATAAAACAATAATAATAGTAAAAAAACCACTGACATTTAAACGTCAAAAATATTTCTGACAAAGATTTGGAAAGCCTACTAAGATATTTTCATTTAAAATTCATTCCAATTTTCGATCAACAAAGCTTTACAGTTAGTGTTTGCTTAATTATTTTTTTTCTCAGAAATTATTAAATTTTCGAAGAACATCAGAGAGACAAAAAAGTTTTAGAATAGTTTTATCTATCTAACTGAAATTTTTCNAATATAAAATATATAAGTTTGATGATCAAAATTTCTAGAAAAATGCTTTTTAATCTAAACTTATAAAATTGGGTTTTGTTCAATTATGTCAAAAATTATGAAGATTTAAAAAATCCCTGAGATCTTGTTTTTGTGAGTTAAGAAACAGCTTATATCTTAAATTAAAGCTGAAACATTCTATTTTATGAATTTAATATAAAACATATAAGTTTGATAATAAAAATTTTTAGAAAAAAATTTTTTAAACTAAACTTGTAATATTGGGGTTTCTTTGATTATGTATAAAATTTACGATGATTTAAAAAATCACTGAAATCTTATTTTTGAGAATTAAGAAGCAGCTTATCTCTCAAATTAAAGCTAAAACATTCTATTTTATGAATTCAATATAAAATATATAAGTTTGATAACAAAAATTTCTAGAAAAAAATTTTTTAAACTAAACTAGTGAAATTGGGGTTTCTTTGATTATGTATAAAATTTACGATGACTTAAAAAATCGCTGAAATCGTATTTTTGAGAGTTAAGAAGCAGCTTATATCTCAAATTACAGCTAAAACATTCTATTTTATGAATGTAATGTAAAATATATAAGAAGGTTTGAAATTAAATGTGATACTTCTGTACTTTTAACTGGACATTTATTAAATTTTATTTTTCTGACTAGTTTCGGTTTAAAAAACCATCTTCAGAGATAAACTACAAGAAATGAAATATTCAGGCTGTATCTGAATGACGTGCCCAAACTTCAGGGGGTGATTATTTAGGCAATTTTAGAGTACTTTCTTATATAAACTATGAACGATTTCGACTTCCTTGCAGCGCTACGCGAAAAATTTTGGTTTAATTTTTTTTTCTCAAAAACCATAAACGCTAAGAAAATGAAATTTGGGAAATATGTTTAACTCATAATAGGACAGGTTTTGACCCTATTTGTACTTTCAACTTACCCTTCTAAACTACTAAATGTAACCACCCCTTTTACATTTTTGCTAAAATTATTTTGTATAAAGATGATAAATACAATTAGAAAAATTTTACATAGGTAGATGAAAGTATCCTAAAACTTTTTTGTCTCTCTAAAATTTTTCCAAAAACGACTAATTTTTGAGAAAAAAAAATTAAACCAAAATTTTCAGCCATTTTTCGAGGGGTGTAGCTCCTTAGGGGAGCCGAAGTCGCCCATGGTTCATATATCAAAGTACCCTTAAAATTCACTAAAGAATACCCTTGAAGTTTGTTGCGGTCATTCGGATACACCCTGTATAATAATAAAATTCTGAACAATTTAAAAAATCTTATAAATTAATATTTAAAATTGAAAACACAAAAAATGTATGAAAAGTACTTACAGTCAAAATTTAAGAAACCAACATTGTAATCAACCTCAATTTCATAATTATTACTTATTAAAATTAATATTAAAGTCACTATATATACACTAAACACATTTAACAAGTTAGACAAACGTTCTGTAGGATTAAAAGTCGTGTAATGGCGACATGTAAAACAAGTTTCGAGGCAAGATTTCAACGACGACGTGAAGGAGAATAAAAAACCGGTTCAACTCTTGTTAAATTTAGATTCAAATGTTCAAAAATTATTATGCTAAGATAAAAATNCAGTTAGTGTTTGCTTAATTATTTTTTTTCTCAGAAATTATTAAATTTTCGAAGAACATCAGAGAGACAAAAAAGTTTTAGAATAGTTTTATCTATCTAACTGAAATTTTTCCAATGTATTTATCATCATCATAAAAAAAATCTAGGCATAAATTGGACGGGGGTGGTTACGTTTAGTAGTTTAGAAGGGTAGGGTGAAAATTCAAATAGGGTCAAAACGTGCTCTATTATAATTTAAACATATTCCCCAAATTTCATTTTCCTAGCGTTTATGGTTTTTGAGAAAAAAAATTAAACTAAAATTTTCCGCCATTTTTCCAGGGGTGTTGCTTCTTAGGGGAGCCGAAGTCGCCCATGGTTCATATATCAAAGTACCTTTAAAATTCACTAAAGAATCCCCCTTGAAGTTTGTTGCAGTCATTCAGATACACCCTGTATAATAATAAAATTCTGAACAATTTAAAAAATCTTATAAATTAATATTTAAAATTGAAAACACAAAAAAAGTATGAAAAGTACTTACAGTCAAAATTTAAGAAACCAACATTGTAATCAACCTCAACTTCATAATTATTACTTATTAAAATTAATATTAAAGTCACTATATATACGCTAAACACATTTAACAAGTTAGACAAACGTTCTGTAGGATTAAAAGTCGTGTAATGGCGACATGTAAAACAAGTTTCGGGGCAAGATTTCAACGACGACGTGGAGGAGAATAAAAAACCGGTTAAACTCTTGTTAAATTTAGATTCAAATGTTTAAAAATTATTATGCTAAGATAAAAATAATAAAATAAGGGAAGAATTTTAAATAATTTCAAATCCCATTTTAATTCCCAATTTCTATTTTATTATTTTTATTTTTATCTTAGCATAATAATTTTTGCACATTTGAATCTAAATTTAACAAGAATTTAACCGGTTTTTTATTCTCCTCCACGTCGCCGTTGAAATCTTGCCTCGAAACTTGTTTTACATTGTACGTTTGTCTAACTTGTTAAATGTGTTTAGCGTATATATAGTGACTTTAATATTAATTTTAATAAGTAATAATTATGAAGTTGAGGTTGATTACAATGTTGGTTTCTTAAATTTTGACTGTAAGTACTTTTCATACATTTTTTGTGTTTTCAATTTTAAATATTATCTTATAAGATTTTTTAAATTGTTCAGAAATTTATTATTATATATTTCATTTCTTGTAGTTTATTTCTGAAGATGGTTTTTTAAACCAAAACTAGTCAGATAAATAAAATTTAATAAATGACCAGTTAAAAGTACAGAAGTATAACATTTAATTGCAAACCTTCTTAACGATAATACTGGTAAAATGGATTACGTACTTAATTTTAATCATATAAAATATATAAGTTTGATAATAAAAATTTGTAGAAAAAACTTTTTTAAACTAAACTTGTAAAATTGGGGTTTCTTTGATTATGTATAAAATTTACGATGATTTAAAAAATCGCTGAAATCTTATTTTTGAGAATTAAGAAGCAGCTTATATCTCAAATTAAAGCTAAAACATTCTATTTTATGAATTTAATATAAAATATATAAGTTTGATGATCAAAATTTCTAGAAAAATACTTCTTAATCTAAACTTATAAAATTGGGTTTTGTTCAATTATGTAAAACATTATGAAGATTTAAAAATCGCTGAGATCTTGTTTTTGTGAGTTAAAAAACAATTTATATCTCAAATTAAAGCTAAAACATTCTATTTTATGAATTTAATATAAAATATATGTTTGATAATAGAAATTTCTAGAAAAAACTTTTTTAAACTAAACTTGTAACATTGGGGTTTCTTTGATTATGTATGAAATTTACGATGATTTAAAAAATTGCTGAAATCTTATTTTTGAGAATTAAGACGCAGTTTATATCTCAAATTAAAGCTAAAACATTCTACTTTATAACTTTAATATACAATATATCAGTTTGATGATCAAAATTTCTAGATAAACGCTTTTTAATCTAAAGTTGTAAAATTGGATTTTGTTCAGTTATGTCAAAAATTATGAAGATTTAAAAAAATCTCTGAGATCTTGTTTTTGTGAGTTAAGAAACAGTTTATATCTCAAATTAAAGCTAAACCATTCTATATTATGAATTTAGTATAAAATATATAAGGTTGATAATAAAACTTTCTAGAAAAAACTTTTTTAAACTAAACTTGTAAAATTGGGGTTTCCTTGATTATCTATAAAATTTACGAAGATTTAAAAAATCGTTGAAATCTTATTTTTGAGAATTAAGAAGCAGCTTATATCTCAAATTAAAGCTAAAACATTCTATTTTATGAATTTAATATAGAATATATAAGTTTGATAATAAAAATTTCTAGAAAAAACTTTTTTAAACTAAACTTGTAAAATTGGGTTTTGTTCAATTATGTAAAAAATTATGAAGATTTAAAAATCGCTGAGATCTTGTTTTTGTGAGTTAAGAAACAGCTTATATCTCAAATTAAAGCTAAAACATTCTATTTCATGAATTTAATATAAAATATATAAGTTTGATAATAAAAATTTCTAGAAAAAACTTGTTTAAATTAAACTTGTAAAATTGGGGTTTCTTTGATTATGTATAAAATTTACGATGATTTAAAAAAATCGCTGAAATCTTATTTTTGAGAATTAAGAAGCAGCTTATACAGGGTGTCACACAAAAAACGCCCCAAGCTGTAACTCTGTTATTTACATTCCGATTTTCATGGCCTAGGTATCAAATGAAATGGTTTTATAAATACTATGATTCATGCTACAAATAATTTTTTCCAACGCCATCATCAATTTTAAGCGATTAACTTTTGTTTTTCAAATTGCTGCATATATTTTTCTTTACGTCATTGGATAGAAATTGTTCTTCTGAATCCATTGTTGTACAATACATCCATTTTGAATGTAAGTTTAGCAGAGAAACGACACCTGTATATACAGGTTGTCACATAAGAATGCCGCAAGCTGTAATTCTGTCATTTACATTCCGATTTTCATGAGCGAGGTAAGTTTTTCTTCACGTTATTGGATAGAGATTTTTTTTCTGTATCCATGAATGTACAATACATCAATATTAATTATAATTGTAGTAGAGAAAAACATTAAAATAGTTTCCGAACATTCTCTTAAAGTTACTTGTAGTATATTGTAGTGTGCCATGGGAAAAAATAAAGAAAAAACAACTTATAAGTATCATTTACAACTGCTTCGGGCATTGAAATAACATTTAATGACTGTTATCAGTTTTGCCCGTTATTTTTTTCTATGGCACACTAGAGGCAATGTTCGGAAAATGTTTTAATTGTTTTTCTCTGCTTAAATTACAATTAATGTTAATCTATTGTACATCAATGGGTTCAGAAAAAAAATCTCTATCCAATAACGTGATGAAAAAAATTCCGAGCAATTTGAAAATCAAAAGTTGTTAATCGCTTGAAATTGAATCATAGTATTCATCAAACCATTTCATTTGATAGCTGGGTCATGAAAATTGGAAGGTAAATGACAGAGTTACAGCTTGCGGCGTTTTTGTGTGGCAACCTCTATATACAGGTGTCTTTTCTCTGCTAAAGTTATATTCAAAATGGATGTATTGCACATCAGTAGATTCAGAAAAACAATCTCTAGCCAATGACGTAAAGAAAAATATATAGAGCAATTTGTAAAGCAAACGTTAATAATCGCTTAAAATTGAAGATGGCCTTGGAAAAAATTTATTTGTAGCATGAATCATAGTATTCATGAAACCATTTCATTTGATACCCCGCTCATGAAAATCGGAATGTAAATGACAGAGTTACAGCTTGGGGCGTTTTTTGTGTGACACCCTGTATATCAAATTAAAACTAAAACATTGTATTTTATGAATTTAATTTAGAATATATAAGTTTGATGCTCAACATTTCTAGAAAAATGCTGTTTAATCTAAACTTGTAAAGTTGGGTTGTGTTCAATTATGTCAGAAATTATGAAGATTTAAAAAACTCCCTAAGATCTTGTTTTTGTGAGTTAAGAATCAGCTTACATCTCAAATTAAAGCTAAAACATTCTATTTTATGAATTTAATATAAAATATATAAGTTTGATGATCAAAATTTCTAGAAAAATGCTTTTTAATGTTATCTTGTAAAATTGGGTTTTGTTCGATTATGTTAAAAATTATGACGATTTAAAAATATCACTGCGATCCTATTTTTTAGAGTTAAGAAACAACTTATATCTCAAGTTAAAGCTAAAACATTCTATTTTATGAATTTAATGTAGAATATATGTTTGATAATAAAAATCTCTTAAAAAAAATTTTTAATCCCGACATGCAAAATTTGTGATTGAAATTATCTAGAAATTAAAGCTGATCCATTCTATTTTAGGAATTTAATATGGAATATAGACTACAAGATTTTCCAATTTATCAGATGTCTAATGAAGAATCCAAAGATTTTAGATACCTAAAGTGTATTAAAATACAATTTAAAATGTGGCAAGGCTGCAACTGCCTTAATTAATCATCTTAACAAAACGCAAAATATCAGGTTATTGGTTTCGCTTTTCTGCCAGATTGCCCAGAAAAGTACATCTTCATAAATATGAAGAAATTCTATAGATTAGCATAACCAAATAAGTAATACATAATCATACCATCGTACCATTTCTACACCAACATCAATAAGGTGTATTTTTGCGTGTTCTGGCACTTTGCTTACTTTGGCAGATCTAGAACCTACCTTGTTTAGTAAATACACAAGAAAACAACACGAAAGACGTTATTTTACTATCGTTGTTGAAAGCAATGTTTTGAGTGATGTGAAGGTACAGAAAGCTGAATCAGAAGATATTTTTTACAAAATCGTATGAAAAATACTTTTTTCAAAAACAACTTTATATACTTTTGGAAAAATCACTCATAACCGTGCAGGAAATTACTCAATCATGTTTTAATCACATTTTCGTGCACCTTTTTGTTCTCAATATCATTCGTTAAAATTAACAGAATTCTTAATTCTATTTGAATGGCCCCCATATCTTTTTTCTTACGATCCATAAATAGGATTAAGTTGATTAGGAACGTATTCGTTCGAAGTACTATAATATTGATCACCCATAAAACTAACTAAAAAAGAATCGGTTTGCCCCGAAAGATCTTTCGGTCGCAATTGTAGCCCGCGAATACAATAAAGCCGCGCGATAAATCCAACTTTATCGTTGTTGGGTGCATCTTGAAAAAATCCATTGTTTAAATCTTTCCCGGTTAAAGTAACATATTGAACGCCCGTTTTTGGGGGCCAGGGATAAACTTTTAAATTCCCTTTAAAAACGCCCATGATATCTTTGCTTTGGATGTCTTCATCTTCTTTTCTTTCGCCTCTAACCAAGGAAAACGTTGCTAAAGTATCTTGAAATCCGTTAAATTCCGGTTGGTATTCGAGTTCTTCTTCGTAAATTTTTAATCTAAAATTTTTGCTGTATACTGTGGATGATGTTGAGGAGGAGTTTAAAACGTTTTGCCATGATACAAAGAATTTTGTCCACCAATCCACAAATTCGTCTTCTTCTGGTTCAGCTTCCATTTCAACGATAGCGGATTTTGTATTTTTTTCGTCTTCTTGTGTATCATGTGTTTTTATATCGCTTTTTTTCTTTTTTTTAGAAAACTTTCCTAAGATACCTTCATGCTTTTTACGATTTTCTTTTCTATTTTTCACCGTTGATTTAATTTTTTTCTTCGTTTCGTGTAACTTTTCTTTAGCAGCTTCGATTTTTTCTTTCGCTTCTTGACGAAAATCAGTTTGAGTTTCTTTGGTGATTTCTTTTTTCTTTGTAATTATAATTTTTTCTAAAAATTGCTTATTATTAACCAGAAATATGTTAAGGAAAAGATTTTAAATACCTTGACTTTCCATGCTATCGTATGATTTTGTGTCGTGGTGAGATAAGGAGAATTCTCTTTCTTCTCGAGTTAAAGGGTAATAAAGGAATCGATCGATTGTTGTTATATGATTTGCGACGTAGGTGCTTCTTCCGAAAGCACGATTTTCTATTAATTGTATCCCTAAAGATGGGATATAATCTTGTTCAATTGGTAAACTCTAAATTAATTAAATAATTTATTTAAAAATTTTTTTTGAATATTAATTTTTATTACAACGATAAGATTTTCTGTTTTTGGGTCGAAATTGGGAAATTTATTTGTGGCCGTTTCGGATTCGATCGTCGTAACAGTAAAATCGATCATGATTTTTGGTTTAGTGACGGGGATCCCATACAATTTTTTTAAATGTCTAACTCCCCAAAATAAAATATCTGTTTTATATCCACTCAAAATTGGTCGTATATCATCAGGAATTTTTGTTATTATTTTATCTTTAGATGGAGAAGGAGCTAACGCTAGTCCGCTGCTTATCTAAAAAAAATTATTAGAAGCCAAGATTATAAAAATGATATTTTGGGAATCAACTTCAAGCAATTCGATGCACAACAACACTTTCCCAACAGATAAATTCTCCTGAATCACTTCGTACCATTTTAAAACTGGGGGGAAATCGGGTTTTGTGTAAGGATCTGATTTTAATTTTACAACTGGTTTTACAAAAATTCTTCCAACGTATTGACTAGTACGCTAGAAAGTAAATTAATAAAAAATTTTCGATTTATTTGAGTACTCTTACTATATCATCATAATCAACAACTTCTATTATACACGTAGGTGGATTTTCTTTAATATAATTTCCTGAACCATATACTGTTATAAATGGAATGATCACAGTTTCATCCCATAAGGGATTTAATTTTCCCTTGATTATCTAAAAAACATTCAAAAAATCACGTAATGAATTTACTCTAAATTTTATGTTAATTATGCAAAGAGTTTTGGTTCTTAACCCTCATCTCAAAAATGGCTCGCCTCCAAGGAGACTCTACCATTGAGGTCTTATATATAATCTAGAGAGCGTATGTGGTGGTGGTGGGGGTAATCAGAAAGTCAGACATGTTGGATGTACCGACCTGAACTTAGCTATAGTTTCAAGTCTCTGTTGTACCTACAATTATAACTTCACAATTCTCATAAACATATTGTTATTTTTATTAAAATTTGATTTTTTTTCGTTTCACACATGTTTTTTATAATTTGGTAGGTTGGACGATTATTTACAACAGTCCATAAAATGTTTCTGGTTACTTGACTTGGAATGAACAATTAAAGACCTTGGTGTAAGGGGACAACTCCTTGTCTTGATAAATGGAGCTACTCCCTTCTTACACAGAGGTCTTCAATTGAAGTTCAAGTAAAGTTTATTATTAAGGACTGTTCAGTTTTTTTTAATAAACTAACAATTATTTATAAGCAAAGGTTAACGTGATCAATCAGAATTGCTTTAAATATTTTCTTCTTAGTTTATGTTAATTATAAGGGTTATGGCTAAAAATTATTAAGTTCTCTTAAAATATCATATAATTAATAATTATTTATCAATAAAAAATTAATGTTTTGTTTTGGTTATTATTTTCTGTCTTTCCAGTTTATAATAATGTCAATTCTTGCATAACTATATATAAGAATTTCGAATTTCCCGCTAAGTTGGTACATTTAACATGGCGACCTTTCTGGCTTCATTTTAGGCGTGGTGGGGACAACAGCATACGCACTCTAGATTATATATAAGACCTCAATGGACTCTACAAGGAACTCAATAGCGAGCATAGAAGACTCAGAGCATAGAGTCTTCGTAGGCGGATATTCTATGCAAATTCCAGAAATATGCCGGATAATTCCGTCAAGTTAAAAACGGTAAATAAAGTAAATAAGTGAGGTCCTTGGCGACCAGGCAAGACAGAACTTGAACCCAGGCTATACTTGGAGATCCTTGATCTGGACTGCACGGCAGTAGTAGAAGAGCTTGATCATGAAAATAAAAGTAATGACAGAGAACTTTCAACAGTTGCGGAAAGTAATTTTCAATCTGGGTGAACGTAAAGCAAACATTTTGCTGATTGCCAGTAGAATTAAGGTTGGGTGAGAAAACAGCAGGATAAAACGACATCTCGAGGTGAAACGCTGCTACAGTTGTTTTGGCTATAGCCAAATCAATTAAATGTGATGAATGCAGAAGAGCTGAAAATATTTGTTTAACTGTTGTGAAACAGTTAAACAAAAATGGTGGCAAAATGCTTTTTATGGGTTACCTCGAATGACAGGACAGATCATGCCCACGATTCGGAAGGTGCTCCAATTTTAGGCTGACTTTGGAAGCGATTAAGACAGCTACAAAAAAACCTCCAGTAGAGGTACAGCAGCTTTTGGTTATCAAACATCCGTGCGACTTCGGTCTACATAATGAAAGAGAGCCACGTCTGGATACAGGTTAATGGTATTGAAGAAGTAATTAATGCTACTATGGGCCTTTAAATGAAACAACAACACTTTAAACTAATAAATCATCAGTTTACTGTTTGAAAGCAGAGATTGTAGACTTACAAAAAATATGTTTTCAAGAAAGAAAGACTCTCATCAGGGTTAGAAAATTACAGCGCCAAGAAGGTGCTTAAATCTGCTATCTATAAAAGCAAAGTGAAGAAATAGAACAAAATGAAAGATGTGAATTCAGACTCATCATAAAAGCCACTTTCTTTTATATTTTTGCTTCTTGTTCCAAATTGATGAAATATAAAACTGAGTAGCATTATATTTTTCTCATTCTTGTGATATTTGACTAAACCATAGAAGTTAAAACATCCCAACAGGCTATACGGAACATTTGGTCTATTTATGTCATAATAGGTTTTACACAGGTCTTATGTATGAGAACTTCGCTTTATGTGTTTCCGCATTATGTCTGTCAGGTAACCTAATATTAAAGCTCTTATCGTTGTTTAAGCTATAACTTCTTCTTGGAAATTCCTACAGGCGATAACATTGATATAAAGGCATTTAAAATTCATCACCTCATTCGATATCTCATCAACCAAGGCAGATTTTCGACCATTATGGACATTATGGATCACTGGAGACGTGTGGTTTTGGTAATATGCTATTTTTCTCAATCGTTCAGTGAAGTTTTTGTTCTCACGTTCATTGACTGGCTTTTTCTGATTCTTAGAATATTCCATTTTTTTGCCTTCCATTAAGCTCATACACCATATCTTTTGTACATTTTTCCCAAAGAGCTCTTTTAATGTTTTGAGATTTACACTTTGTCGTTTTTCATTTGAGAATTCTTTAATCTCTCTGCTTTTGTATTTGCTTTCTATGTTTGTGAATCTTCTTCTTACGGTTTCTTCGGATGAATTTATGTTATATTTTAATTTCTACCAATATGTGTCTATACTATGTATAGGTACATACAAGTAGGTATATATATTTCTAATAGTCACCCATGCGCCTATAAAAAGGTATCGATTTACTAAGCCTCCTGCTCCCTGGATGACCGATAATATTAAGTTAATGATTAGACTGTGTGATGAGGCTAAAGCTAAATTCAGACATTCGGGTAAAAATAGCTCATTGGGAATACTACAAATCTCTTAGGAATTTAACTACTATAGCTGTAAGAAATGAGAAGAGAGCATTTTTCGGTTCTATTGCTATCCCTGGTCATGAAGGGTAAATGTGGAGCAGATTGAGTCATTGAATATTATATCACATAAAGATGCTACCTTGCCGGAAAATTTAAAGTTTCCTGACAAGATTAATGAATATTTTGTTGATAGTGTCAAAGAAATTGTTAAAGACTTCCAAGGGTCTGGTTTAGATCTCTATGATAGTTCTAGTTTTAAAAATGACTTTTCTTTTAAATTAGTGGAGGACTCTTTGGTGTTGGAGATGATTAATTGTATTGCCTCATCTGCAGTTGGAGCGGATGGTGTCTCCATTGACATGATCAAAATGTCTTGTCGGGCTATTTTGCCATGGAATGGAAGCGTACTGTGGTTATTCCGCTGCCCAAGAAGGGTGACCCACAGGAATATGGGAACTTGCGACCTATTAGTGTGCTTCTATCGTTGTTTGAGCTATAACTTCTTTTTGGAAGTTCCAGCTGGTGGTAACATTGACACAAATATATTTAAAATTTATCACCTCATTCGATATCTCATCAACTAAAGCAGATTTTCGACCATTATGGACATTATGGATCACTGTAGACGTGTGGTTTCGGCCACACCCTGGTCTAATCTCTCTGCTTTTGTATTTGCTTCCTATGTTTGTGCATCTTCTTCTTACAGTGCCTTCGGATGAATTTATAATGTTATATTTTGTGCCAAGGAGGTATACATGTTTCTAATAGTCATCCTTCTCTGTAGTGCCAAACTCTTAGCATTAGTCCTATCTACTCTTGATATCTTTTCAGATATCCTCAACCTCGTTTACACCAGCGCTACTTTACCACTTTTAAATATTCTGATGTATTAAATAGATAATATTAATAGTATGACTTAAAAATATATTGTCCCTTATACCAAAGTCCGATGTCCGTTCTAGCGAGGACTAAACCTCTAAAATTAGTTGTTGCACTTTAGTCTGTACACAGACGTAATAGCAAGTACATAGATCGCTTTAATAACCGATAACATCTCTCAAGTGGGTATTAGTTTTTAAAACTTGACTCTTTAATTATCTAAAAAATCTATCAAGTAGTTTACAAAATAAAATCTTATCAAGTAATTTAACTAATACGTATATTAAACTAAATACTTCAATATTTTTTTTATTATTATCAGATTTTAATGATGAGTAATTAAAGGGAAATGGATTAAAAAATTGTGAAGGTGTGGGTGGAATTGTTGCTTTAATTGAATCTCCAAAAAATTCTAAATGCATCTGTAAATTTGAAAACCTTCAAGGTGGTCTTATTAAAAATAAAAATAGAAATAAAGTTCAACAAGCTCAAAAGTGGCTTAACTGTGGAAAGTTTTTTTGTATAAACTGATAAAGTTTAATTACCCCCCCATCAAATACCCATCAAATATCGCTATCTGTCAATCACATTTCTCTGTAGATATTGAGTGGCACATTTTCTAACAAAGTTGTTAAATCATTTTGGAGGAAATACAAATAACATACGAAAGTATGAACGTTTTTTTGCAGAAAAACAGGCAATCATATTTTTTAGGAAAAGAAAAATGGCAAATGTTATACCATTTTGGAATCTTGACTAAATAGGCCACTACTTTGTTTAGAAATCGTGTGTCAAACTTAATAGACATAAACCTTTCAACCTTAACTCAATCAAACTAATACTTTTTTTGCAAAACTAACGACTTTTGTTGTTCGATTTGTGACTGCTATAGCATCATTAGGAATACATTATTAAAAAAATCAGTATTAAATTGCGAACATTTCTGAATGTAGTACCTAAAGATATGATGTAAGGGAACGATTTTTAACATTTTCAAAAATATGTCTATTACCATTTAACTAAGAGACAGAATTTTTTTCTTATTTTTACCAGAACAGGTATGGGTTGGCGTCTCACCCGGTATCCGCTTGACGTTGAGTTTCGGGACAACCTGTATATATATTTTTTTTATTTTGTTTTTCTTTTATTTTAATTTACCATAACACATTGGTGTTATTTTGTATTATAATTTCACAATTATGCATACATTTATATATATGCATATTCATTTTGTTCGTTCTATATAGAATACAATAAAGTTGTATTATTATTATTATTATAAGAAATGTGAAGAACAACATTGAGGGAATTGTGTTTAAGGAGGACAGAGTCAATTTTTCAATACATTTAAGCGATAACAGGAACAAGGTTGAGGATATCTGAGAAGACATAATAATAAAAATCAATTCCAAAAGTGGACAACTTCATGTGAATCAACAAAGATGTTTTATCTGTCTTAAGAGACGTACGGCTAAACCCAAATGATTCTAGTTCCAGGCCTAGTATTGGTTCTAGTGATAGTGTTAGTTTTATTAGAAACATTCGGGTTTAGCCGCCTTAAGAAACGCTTGGCTAAACCCGGGTGATTCTGGTTCCAAATCTAGTATTAGTTCTACTTTTCGTTCAATAAAAATATACTACAATCTAACGCTTAATAACAATTAAAACTAGAACTAACACTAGACATTAGAAACTAGAACTAGAAACATACGGGTTTAGCCGTCTCTACTGTTAGTGTTAGTTCTGCTTTTAGTTGTTACTCAGGGTTAGATTGTTGATTATCTTCAGATTAAAGTGCAAATTAAATTTTTTTTATACAGGGTCATCCACGACGACCGTCCATTAGAACTTTACAGGGTTCTGGCCAAAATTAAAATTTGAAAATTCAGATTTAAGTATTATCAATTGCGTTCTTTTCGACTAAAATATTTTCAGATATCTAACACTTCCGGTTATACCGGAAGTCGCCACCTACTTTATTTTTTTAAATGGAATACCCTGTATATTTTTACATATTTGGATTTGTCTCTTTTCAAGGTTTATGAATGACTTTACTTTATGGAATTTGATTCGGCCGTTCTCGAGTTATTCGAATTTTTCTAGAAAAATCTGCTCCAGCAGATATTTGTTCAAAAAATCAGAGAACACTCGACTTTTGGGATATCAATTTAGGATTCAGAACATGCTTAAGCAACATGATGGAGTATGTTTTGGTGCCGAGTATGGCTGTCTAGAACGTTTGGTCACTTTACAATGGCACGTTACTTTTTCGAAACTTGGAAGTACCATAACTTCATTTTTTTAAATGGTACCGTAATATCGATATGATATGTGTGCATTTTCAAGAAACCCTAATTATCTTCCAAACTATAAATGTTAGGTATAGGACATATGGGATATAAAAGATGTAGAATGAGACACCCAAGACGACTAAGTAATAAAATATGGGGGGTGCCATTTAAAAAAATGAAGTTATGGTATTTCCAAATTTCGATAAGTTAACGTGCCGTAGTAAAGTGACCAAACGTTCTAGACGGCCGTACTCGGCACCAAAACATACTCCATCATGTTGCTTAAGCATGTTCTGAATCCTTCTAATATTCTAAATTGTTCTAAATTGATATCCCAAAAATCGAGTGTTCAATGATTTTTTTAACAAATGTCTGCTGGAGCAAATTTTTCTAGAAAAATTCGAATAACTCGAGAACGGCCGAATGAAATTGCAAAAAATAAAGTTATTCATAAACCTTGAAAACAGACAAATCCAAATATGTAAAAATATATAGGGTGTTCCATCCGGTATATATCCTTCCGGGGTATCCTTCCGGTATAACCGGAAGTGCTAGAAATCTGAAAATATTTTAGTCGAAGAGAACGCAATTAATAATACTTAAATCTGAATTTTCAAATTTTTGTTTTGGCTAGAACCCTGTAAAGTTCTAATGAACGGTCTTCGTGGATGACCCTGTATAACAGACAGTCCCTTCCCTATATTAATCCGTTATATTGAGGTTTTATTGCAATATTACCTGTGTACATACTGATTCTTCGTTTAAAATAACTCGAATGTAATAGTCTGATAATCCCGTTACATCAGCTCCGAATTTAAACCTTCCTTGGTAAATGTGAGCTCGACATTGAAAATTCTAAATCAAAAATTAAAATTAAAACAATTGTTTTTTTTTTGAATAAAATTATTACAATTTTTGTGTTCAAACTTAAATATCTTGGTAAATTTGAGAAATTTCGTGTCGTTTCGTAATAAAATCCTTCTGGTAATGAGTTAAAACAAAACTCGATTTCCTTTTTTAACCCGACCCAAAGGAACAAATCCATTTTGCAAGCGATTAGAGCATTTTTTAGGGTCTTCAATTTAAGTGGGGTCTATAATTAAATTTAAAACTTTATTATATTTGATTAGATTAATTAATTGTTATTACATTTAAATGGATACTGTGGATTTTTCCACATAATGGTCCCATTTCGTATTTTTCCATTGAAAAAACGACGTCTTCGGATTCGATCATTTGTGCCGCAACTTTTTTTCCATTACACATCATATAGATTAAAATATCGGGCCAACAATCTTGAGGCTAAAGATATAATTTATATAAAAATATGAACAAAAGGAAATTAAATAAATGAATTACGTGGTCTTCTAATAACGAAAGTCTGATGTAAAGTTTTTGGGCTTTCCTGTAAGATTTTTTTTTCGTTTTGAAATTGTAGATTGTTTTGGCTAATTTTTCAATGTCTTCCTAAAATGATTGTTTTTTAAAAATATTTATAAGAAATTCGGTGATATATACCATTTCTTTTAAGCAAAGTTTGATTTTCTCTTTGTCTAAATTTGTTGCTTGGTCCCCGATGACTCGGCCAACAACATCGATGTAATTCCTACATCCTTCTGCTAAAACATTTAAAGCTTCATCTAATTTTTTCCCGATTAATCCACTCGGAATTCGACATCTCTCATATTGAAATAAAGGCTCAATATCATCTAAACGTTTTTTCTAAAAATAAAAGTGCGAAAAAATGTTGTTTAGTCTGGGCCAAAAGATTTTGAGACAAGTGTTATTCGATTTTACTCGCAAACAGATTACCTAACTTTCCGTTATTATTACAATTTTTTTATTGTATTTTTTATCGACACCTGCCTTGGTAAAATAATATTTTTTTATCACTTATTCACACTCAACTGAACCGTATCGAACACGATAGGAGGCGAGTAAACAAAAATTAACCACTCGAAAATGGATTATGCAACTGATTATTTCGTTGCTGGTCTAGAACATTTATGGTACAACAAAAATTCATCCAAAATCTTTGCGAAAAAATGAATCAAAAACGAAACAAAATCATATAAAAAAAAAATTGAGATAAAATTGTTTTTACAATTTTTATTTTGACGTTTCATCAATCTAAATTAAAAATAACCTTATTATCTCGCCACTTACCAGATCGTCCGAAATTTTTCTTATCATATTCTTATTAAAAAATCTTCGTCTAAAATCTGGAAAGTGATTTTGATAATTGATACAGGGTATTTTACCCCGAAAATCCAAATACCAATACACCTTATCGTTCGTAACCGGTTTTATCTCGTCCGAAACGTTCGGAAACGTTTGGTTCCAATCCCCCAAATAATTCCTTGGCCCCAAAGAAATTTCAAAACGAATTGGTTTCTTCGAAAACCGTTTATCAATCGCATTCACGGAGATGATACCACAAAAAAGAACGATCGGTTCCGTTCGCCACAACGTAGATTCGTTTAAAGAAGGGATGGATTTTTTCGTGAAAGATTTCGGTTTTGACAAGTATTCGTGTTGGAGTTGGGTGTGCAAACCCATTAAGATTTTTCCAACGTAAACATCGCCAAATCGATCTTTGTTATAGAAATGAACGTAAGCTGGACCGAATGTTGGTAAAAATCCGTTTTCTTGATCGTTCGCTATTGAATGAAGATACAGATATTTTACAGCACTAAATTTTCTACTTTTTGTTTTTAATTGAAGCTTTATTCTTTGGCATAAAGGGGGGAATAATTCCGCAATTGTTAATTGTTCGTTCCATGTTGGGGATTGAGTGTATTTTATAATCGATGTTGATGCCTTAAATAAAAATAAGTAAGAAAATCAACGGAAAAATTCTTAATAATAATAGTAAAGCACTTATTAGGGATTTTTAAAGATCATTTGAGATATTTAAAGATTCTGTGCTAAAATAGCTCTCGATTACTAAGAACTGGACTTGAAGATACACAAAATACTGATAAATAACGAAATTTTATAACTCATGAATTCCAGCACTTATCAAGTAAATTCGATGAATTTGACGAAAAGGCAAAGAAAAATGGTTAAAATGAAGCTCCGAGGAGATTGAAGAACTGCAAAGGAAATACGACATGTTCTATATAAAAAGATCAAAGAGGTTTCCAATAAACAGATTAAGACATCTAATAACAAAAGTATCACCGAGTCAAGTCCCAAAGTTACAAAAGAAGACGTTAACCAAGCTTTAAGACTCCAAAAAAAGAAATTTGAAAATGATCTACGACACCGAAAGAATCCCAAATAAAAACTAACTAACTCTTATGCCGCCAGTACTCTCCATTGACAGAAAATGAAGGGTAAGGTTCCAATTGATGCAGTAAAAAGTTTTTTGGTAATCCAAAAAAACAGAATCTTCGGCATTTTGATAACAAATATAGAATAAGACTTATGAAAGACAAATCAGTGAAGCCCAATTCTATTTTCAGAAATGGAAAAGAAACACGAGAGACACTATTTTCATCGATATCTACTCATGCATTGTAGATTACAAAAGATCCTAAGATCCATGCGAGCAATAGATCGGATTTCTTCTTACGTGGTAGTTCCAGTTGCAGGAAGTAACAAATATTGGCTAAAAATACAACACACAGCTAGAATAACAAAGATCCCAACTCAAGATAAGCTACAACTTATTAGTAGATAAACTGATTATGAACCGAGTTTCAATCGCATACGGCATAAACAATTCCGCTTTTCCAGAATAAGTACTTTGCTATAAGAAATGATCGAAAACACTGTATACCTACAGTTATTCCCGCAAAGCTTATTTCAATTAAAGTACTTGACATTTCAACTTTAGTTTTTTTCCTACAATTATCTATCGAAATGATAAGGTTTACTATTTTTTTGTGATAATAATACATTTTTTTCTAAAATCGAACAATATATAAAGCTAACTAAACGATGGGAGAATCATTCAACTTGAGTTGCCTCTCCATACAAGGTAAGATATAAAAATTATAAATTTTCTTTCTTTTCTTAACATTACAACAATATTTTCATGATTTTGCAGATGAAACTCGCTTTGGTGCTTTTCGCCGTTGTAGCGTTGGGTTCGGCTTATCCGACCCACAGAGATCTTCAAGGCGATCTTGAAGATATCGTCTCAACCATTCCATTATCCGAAATCAGAGCAATTGCTCGTAAATATGCTGAAAACGATGCCGAATTTCAAGAAGTTGTAAAATATTTGCAAGGACCCGAATGGGCTGAGCTTGTTCAAACAGTTGCCGACAACGAAACATGGCAAAGATTCAAAGCTTACATGTCAGAAGCTGGAGTAGATATTGATGGAGTCATCCAATACCTCCACGATCTCATCGCCGGAGCTCCAATTCCCGTAGCCAAGAAATCCGAAGTTCGTAGTGTAAGAGATTTCGTCGATGAAGTCCTTGCTATTTTGGATCTTCAAGCCGTACTTGAAGCTCTCAATGACAAACTCAATAATAGCGCCGACTTCCAAGAATTCTTTGGAAAAATCTCCAGCGAAGATGCTCATCAAATGGTCGAAGAAATCCGTGCTATTCCCGAGGTTCAACGCATCGCCCAACGTCTCCGTGAAATGGGTATTGATGTTGATAAAGTTATCGATTTAGTCTACGGTCTTTTGGGATGGAGCAAGAAAATGACCACCAGAGATCTCCAAGGCGATCTTGAAGATATCGTCGCAACCATTCCATTAGCCGAAATCAGAGAAATTGCCCGTAGATATGCTGAAACCGATGCAGAATTCCAAGAAATTGTAATATATTTACAAGGACCTGAATGGGCTGAACTTGTTCAAACAGTTGCCGACAACGAAACATGGCAAAGATTCAAAGCTTACATGGCCGATGCTGGAGTAGATATTGATGGAGTCATCCAATACCTCCACGACCTCATCGCCGGAGCTCCAATTCCCGTAGCCAAGAAATCCGAAGTTCGTAGTGTAAGAGATTTCGTCGATGAAGTCCTTGCTATTTTGGATCTTCAAGCCGTACTTGAAGCTCTCAATGACAAACTCAATAATAGCGCCGAATTCCAAGAATTCTTTGGAAAAATCTCCAGCGAAGATGCTCATCAAATGGTCGAAGAAATCCGTGCTATTCCCGAGGTTCAACGCATCGCCCAACGTCTCCGCGAAATGGGTATTGACGTTGACAAAGTTATCGACTTAGTCTACGGTCTTTTGGGATGGTCCAAATAATTAACCTATATTTTAAGTTTTGTACTTTTGGTATACTTTTCATTAAATAAATTCATGTAATATTAAACGTCTTATTTCTTTTTGTATAAAAACGAAGTATAAAATCAAAATTATGCAGAAACATTGAAAATAATTTCAGAAAAAGACAGAGAAAAGGATATTTAATACGATCTACGAAACCGGAAGAATGCCAGAAAAGAAGTTAACGTCACTCAATGTGGTGATTGTTGTATGATTAGCTTGATGTCATAAAAATATTCCTGCGTATTATCTTTTTCTTTATAGGTGTTCTCTCATTACTGAGGATTATAATCATTGGCAACTTATGCCGTCAGTACTCTACATTGACTGAAAACGGAGGTAATCTTCTGATTCAGGCACGTCCATTAGGTTGATGACCGTCCTCTGGACTTTCGTTGCTCTACGTTTCCCAATGTTATCAATCTCTCCATATTATTGTCATCTCCTCGTGTAACGCATCCAAAAAACCTCAGGATATTTGCAAGACAAAAAGAGGATAATAAAAACCATATATTAACTTCTAACTTGCTTTTATTTATATAAAGTCTCGCCTCATCTCATCCCATCAACACATCTTTAATACGATCTTAAAGATTTATTCGAATTTCTAATTTTTTAACATTCTACACTTTTTGACGACGCCATTCTTAATTCATTTTTCATCCTAATTTTCATTATCCGTCAGATAGCAAAATGCTTTACTTTCACATGATTTCCAGTCTGCACCTATTATAGCTACATTGGCTTTGTCGATGACGATGGGGTAACCCGAAACTAGTACGACTTTATACAGCATGTCCCCGGGTCGAATTACAAAGAGGTAAAAAAAATTTATTACTGAATTTTCGAACTTATCTCAGCATAAATAATGCGTCGGATATGTTCAAACTACTAAATCGCAAGGATTTTATACTCTAACTATAGAAGTTAACTAATTATTCCCATTTTTATGTAAAAATTTGACCTTTTTTCTAAATTAAAAATTTTTCAAAGTTCAATTTATGATATGTAACCATAGAAGAGTGATGTAAATCCAAATTCTACACTCTCTAGACGAAGTCAACATTTCAAAAAAGTAAACGTGTGGTGTGCTATGTTATAGCATCACGGGGTAATTGGGCCATATTTCTTCGACGAAAATGTAAATCAACAGAAATATTTGGATATGTTACAAAATTATTTTAGTGAACAACTTTATGAATTACCTTTAAATTTTATACTGTCAATGTACTTTCAGCGAGACGGTTGCCTAGCTCACCATTACACATTATGACCGAATGGTCCTATTTTATGACCAGCACATAGTCCTGATCTTACAATTATGGATTTTTATTTTTTGAAATATCTGTAATCAATTTTCTTTTCCTCTTTGTAACTCTATCCGGGAACATACCGTATAAATAAATGCTAGTTAGAAGTTAATATATAGTTTTTATTTGATCATTAATCTTGCAACATGTATAACTCTTTCAAAAGGAAAATAGTCTGTTCCACGGAATTCGGAGTATGTACATCTAGCATCACGATTATAACTTTAGGTTTTTTGTACGTTAATCTTAGGGCAACCTTTATTACTCTCAGTCTCAACTCCGTTTAGAAGATCACCTCTTCTGATGCAGCTATCAAAGTTGTATCCTCAGTATTTTTCAGGTTATAATATGGGAGATAACTTCGAACACTAGCTGTGATGTTATTTTAAAATGTTCTATGTATTCTTGATTTGAAAGTAAATATCAGGGATATCTATGAAACAGAAAATCTCTTACTACAAAGTTTTTCGCCTGTTAGTCATTATTCGTCATGAGGAGTAAATACCCAAGTTTATGCGTATAGGTTGAGAATCACCTTGTATAGGATAAAACTTACGAAAGACAAATCAGTGAAGCCCAATTTCATTTTTAGAAATGGAATAGGAACGCGAGAGACTCTATTTTCATCGACATCTACGCATGCTTTATACATTACAAAAGATCCTAAGATCTATGCCAGCAATAGATCGGCTTTCTAATTGAGTGGTAGTTGAAGTTTCTCATGGAAGTAACATCTATTGGCCAAGAATACAACACACAGCTAGAATAGCGCAGATATCAACTCAATGTAAGCAACAACTTAGTAGGTAAATTGATTATGAACCGAGTTTCAATCCCATACAGCATAAACAATTTCGCTTTTCCAAAATAAGTACTTTGCTATAAGAAATGATCGAGAACACTGTATAGCTACAGTTATTCCCACAAAGCTTATTTCAATTAAAGTACTTGACATTTCAACTTTAGTTTTTGTCCTACAATTATCTAAAATAGTTTTTTTCAGTCAAAATGATAAGGTTTACTATTTTTTTGTGATAACAATACATTTTTTTGAAAATCGAACAATATATAAAGCTAACTAAACGATGGGAGAATCATTCAACTTGAGTTGCCTCTCCATACAAGGTAAGATATAAAAATTATAAATTTTCTTTCTTTTCTTAGCATTACAACAATATTTTCATGATTTTGCAGATGAAACTCGCTTTGGTGCTTTTCGCCGTTGTAGCGTTGGGTTCGGCTTATCCGACCCACAGAGATCTTCAAGGCGATCTTGAAGATATCGTCTCAACCATTCCATTATCCGAAATCAGAGCAATTGCTCGTAAATATGCTGAAAACGATGCCGAATTCCAAGAAGTTGTAAAATATTTGCAAGGACCCGAATGGGCTGAGCTTGTTCAAACAGTTGCCGACAACGAAACATGGCAAAGATTCAAAGCTTACATGTCAGAAGCTGGAGTAGATATTGATGGAGTCATCCAATTCCTCCACGACCTCATCGCCGGAGCTCCAATTCCCGTAGCCAAGAAATCCGAAGTTCGTAGTGTAAGAGATTTCGTCGATGAAGTCCTTGCTATTTTGGATCTTCAAGCCGTACTTGAAGCTCTCAATGACAAACTCAATAATAGCGCCGAATTCCAAGAATTCTTTGGAAAAATCTCCAGCGAAGATGCTCATCAAATGGTCGAAGAAATCCGTGCTATTCCCGAGGTTCAACGCATCGCCCAACGTCTCCGCGAAATGGGTATTGACGTTGACAAAGTTATCGACTTAGTCTACGGTCTTTTGGGATGGTCCAAATAATTAACCTATATTTTAAGTTTTGTACTTTTGATATACTTTTCATTAAATAAATTCATGTAATATTAAACGTCTTATTTCTTTTTGTATAAAACCGAAGTATAAAATCAAATATATGCAGAAACTTTGAAAATAATTTCAGAAAAAAGAGAAAAGGCTATTTAATACGATCTACGAAAGCAGAAGAATGCCAGAAGAAAAGCTAACGCCACTCAATGTGGTAATTGTTGTATGTTTAGCTTGATGTCATACAAACATTCTTGCGTATTATTTTCTCCTTTATAGTCGTTCTCTCATTACTGAAAATCATGATCATTGGCAACTTATTCCGTCAGTACACTGAGGGAAATATATTCTTGAACGAATATTATCACTCTTGGCATAAGCTTATCATATTCTTGTATATCTACAAGAAGATCATTTTGTTAAGTGAAGAAAAACCACATATTCTCAAAGCAAGTATACAAATATTCTTGATTTTCAAGAATACGAATTCTTTTGAAAGTAAATCAATCATGTTGAAAAAGAGTATCTTAGTGTTGCGTCAAGAACCTCATTTCCGTATCCAGAATAAATTTCGTATGTCAAGAATAACGTATCTTTCTTTTTAGAAAAACATATTCATGTAATAACAATCTTGTATAGTTCTTCATTTGAGTATGATAAATTATTGACGCAAGAATGAATTTTTTGATGCAAAGATTTGATATTCTTCGATGCTAAGAATATGAGATACCTCATTCGATAATATTTCTATTCTTAAAACAAAAAAGTATTTTTGTTTTAAGAGTATCTTATACTTGTTTCTAAGAAATAGATTCAAGAATACATTTTTTTGAAAGTCCAGAATAATTTCCCTCAGTGTATTCTCCGTTGATGACCGTCCTCTGGACTTTCGTTGCTCTACGTTTCCTAATGTTATCAATCTCTCCATATTGTTATCATCTCCTCGTGTAATTCATCCAAAAAAACTCAGGATCTTGTTTTAATTTATATAAACTCTCGCCTCATCTCATCCCACCAACACATCTTTAATACGATCTTAAGGATTTATTCGAATTTCTAATTTTTTAACATTCCTCAGTTTTTAACGACGCCATTCTTAATTCATTTTTCAACCTCATTTTGTTCATCCATCAGATAGCAAAATGCTTTACTTTCATATGATTTCCAGTCTACAGCTATTATAACTACATTGACTTTGTCGCTGATGATGGAGTAACCCGAAACTAGTACGACTTTATATAAATAAATACAAGTTATAAGTTAATATACGGTTTTTATTTGATCGTTGATCTTGCAACATGAATAACTCTTTCAAAAGTAAGATAGTATGTTCCACGAAATTCGGAGTATGTACATCCAACATCACGATTATAACTTTTGTTTTTCTCTACGTTAATCTTAAAGCCACATTTATTACTCTCAGTCTCAACTCCGCTTAAAAGATCACCTCTTCTGATGCAGCTATCAAAGTTGTATCCTCAGTATTTCTCAAGTTTGTAATCTTCTTGCCCGCAATTGAATTCCCTCCATTCTATTCGTTCAATGGTTTTCTCACTATGTATTCTCCATAGACGTTAAAGAGATTTGGTGAAAGAACCTTCCACAGCATTTTCAAGTTGATGCATTAAAAAGTCTTTTGGTAATTCAAGAAGCAGATGACCATTGGGATATTGAATTTTCGGCATTTTTGTGTGAGGTGCCTTAAATACAGGATGATTCTCATTTTATACGCATAAACTGAGGGATTTATTTCTCAGGGCAAATAATGACTAATAGATGAAAAAAATTGTAGTAAAAGTTTTTAGTTTCCTAGATAGCTGATATAATAGGCGACATCTAGATGATGTGTTTCTTGGAAGATGGATAGGTCGAGCTGGCCTGGCCACAGTGATCGCCCGGCCTCAATCCTCTTGATTTATACCTTTCGGGTCCCTTAAAGAGCATAATGTACGCCACGGAAGTTAATACCCAGCAAATATTGCAAAATCAGATACATGCTGCTGCCCAGACAATCCGCCAACACCCTGGTTTAGGCTGCGCTAGTGTGAGTTCTTGGATTCGGGAAGCCCAATTGATAGAAAATATGGGAAATAACTTCGAATACTGGCTGTGATATTATTTTAAAATGTTCTATGTATTCTTGATTTGAAAGTAAATATCACGGGTATCTATGAAACAGAAAATCTCTTAAGGTGTGTCCAGACATTGCGCGGCAGGTGCGCGGCAGCAACGCGCGGCGTTCGTCGGACACAATTCTGCCGCGCGCCAGTTTGGACGTATTCAAATAACGTGTGCGCGGCAGTGCTACGCGGCATATGCGCGGCACGCCGCGCGCTATTGCCGCGCGCGAATGCCGCGCAATGTCTGGACACACCTTAACAATTATTTTTTTCGGCTATTAGTCATTATTCGTCATGACTCATGAGGAGTAAATACCCAAGTTAATGCGTATAGGTTGAAAATCACCCTGTATAGAATAAAACTTACGAAAAACAAATCAGTGAAGCCCAATTTCATTTTCAGAAGTAGAATAGGAACACGGAAGACACTATTTTCATCGATATCTACGCATGCATTGTCGATTACAAAAGATCCTAAGATCTATGCGAGCAATAGATCGGCTTTCTAATTGAGTGGTAGTTGCAGTTTCTCATGGAAGCAACAAATATTGGCCAAGAATACAACACACAGCTAGAATAGCGCAGATATCAACACAAGATAAGCAACAACTTAGTAGGTAAACTGATTATGAACCGAGTTTCAATCCCATACAGCATAAACAATTCCGCTTTTCCAAAATAAGTACTTTGCTATAAGAAATGATCGAAACCTCTGTATACCTACAGTTATTCCCGCAAAGCTTATTTCAATTGAAGTACTTGACTTTTCAACTTTAGTTTTTGTCCTACAATTATCTAAAATAGTTTTTTTCAGTCAAAATGATAAGGTTTACTATTTTTTTGTGATAACAATACATTTTTTTCTAAAATCGAACAATATATAAAGCTAACTAAACGATGGGAGAATCATTCAACTTGAGTTGCCTCTTCATACAAGGTAAGATATAAAAATTATAAATTTTCTTTCTCTTCTTAACATTACAACAATATTTTCATGATTTTGCAGATGAAACTCGCTTTGGTGCTTTTCGCCGTTGTAGCGTTGGGTTCGGCTTATCCGACCCACAGAGATCTTCAAGGCGATCTTGAAGATATCGTCTCAACCATTCCATTATCCGAAATCAGAGCAATTGCTCGTAAATATGCTGAAAACGATGCCGAATTTCAAGAAGTTGTAAAATATTTGCAAGGACCCGAATGGGCTGAGCTTGTTCAAACAGTTGCCGACAACGAAACATGGCAAAGATTCAAAGCTTACATGTCAGAAGCTGGAGTAGATATTGATGGAGTCATCCAATTCCTCCACGA